CTGTCACGGGACTTTGATAATATGCAGTGTAACTGAAAACGTGTATCTGTAACGGGTACATTTTGATAAAAAAAAATTAGTGTTTTACCTTAAGATCAAAATGGCAAGGAGGGATTCTTTGACCGTATACGCGTATTCTGATTGGTTTGTTGTATATCGATCGGTGGGGGAACGAATCACTGTGCTGCAGCTCACTGGAAGAATCTCGTGGTGTCGTCTGTGCGTATTTAGAAAATCTTGGCTGGGATATCGTGATGCGTTATTTCTGAGGGGGCTAACATTCCGTTCCCGAATATAGCCGTCCGTCAGACTGACATTTCACATTCACATTCAACCAAGAAGGCGAACTGTTTCAACTGCCTGGTCCGAGGATTCGGTTGTTCTGTCGCCTTACCCACTGACTTGTGCCCAGTGTCCTGTTCTGTCGACTTCCGCCCCTCCCTGACTTGTTCTCCATGTCTTGTTCTATGAGCTTGTATTATCCATTGACTTGTTCTCCGTGTCTTGTTCTATGAGCTTGTATTATCCATTGACTTGTTCTCATCTACCTGTTGTTCAACGAGCTTCTATGTTTTCATATGTTGTTCTGTGGGTTTCTACTCCACTGACTTGTTCTCGTCTACCTGTTGCTCTGTGAACTTCTATACTCCACTGACTTGTTCTCGTCTACCTGTTGTTCTGTGAACGTCTATACTCCACTGACTTGTTCTAGTCTACCTGTTGCTCTGTGAACTTGTATCCTGCTCTGACTTGTTCTAGTCTACCTGTTGTTCTGTGAACGTCTATACTCCACTGACTTGTTCTCGTCTACCTGTTGGTCTGTGAACGTCTGTACTCCATTGACTTGTTCTCGTCTACCTGTTGTTCTGTGAACGTCTGTACTCCACTGACTTGTTCTCGCTTACCTGTTGTTCTGTGAACGTCTATACGCCACTGACTTGTTCTCGTCTACCTGTTGCTCTGTGAACGTCTATACTCCACTGACTTGTTCTAGTCTACCTGTTGCTCTGTGAACTTGTATCCTGCTCTGACTTGTTCTAGTCTACCTGTTGTTCTGTGAACGTCTATACTCCACTGACTTGTTCTCGTCTACCTGTTGGTCTGTGAACGTGTGTACTCCATTGACTTGTTCTCGTCTACCTGTTGTTCTGTGAACGTCTGTACTCCACTGACTTGTTCTCGCTTACCTGTTGTTCTGTGAACGTCTATACGCCACTGACTTGTTCTCGTCTACCTGTTGCTCTGTGAACTTCTATACTCCACTGACTTGTTCTCGCTTACCTGTTGCTCTGTGAACGTCTATACCCCACTGACTTGTTCTCGTCTACCTGTTGTTCTGTGAACGTCTATACTCCACTGACTTGTTCTCGCTTACCTATTGCTCTGTGAACGTCTGTACTCCACTGACTTGTTCTCGTCTACCTGTTGTTCTGTGAACGTCTATACTCCACTGACTTGTTCTCGCTTACCTGTTGCTCTGTGAACGTCTTTACTCCATTGACTTGTTCTCGTCTACCTGTTGTTCTGTGAACGTCTATACTCCACTGACTTGTTCTCGTCTACCTGTTGTTCTGTGAACGTCTGTACTCCACTGACGTGTTCTCGTCTACCTGTTGTTCTGTGAACGTCTATACTCCACTGACTTGTTCTCGTCTACCTGTTGTTCTGTGAACGTCTGTACTCCACTGACGTGTTCTCGTCTACCTGTTGTTCTGTGAACGTCTATACTCCACTGACTTGTTTTCGTCTACCTGTTGTTCTGTGAACGTCTATACTCCACTGACTTGTTCTCGTCTACCTGTTGTTCTGTGAACGTCTATACTCCACTGACTTGTTCTCGTCTACCTGTTGTTCTGTGAACTTCTATACTCCACTGACGTGTTCTCGTCTACCTGTTGTTCTGTGAACGTCTGTACTCCACTGACGTGTTCTCGTCTACCTGTTGTTCTGTGAACGTCTATACTCCACTGACTTGTTCTCGTCTACCTGTTGTTCTGTGAACGTCTATACTCCACTGACGTGTTCTCGTCTACCTGTTGTTCTGTGAACGTCTATACTCCACTGACTTGTTCTCGTCTACCTGTTGATCTATGAACGTCTATACTACACTGACTTGTTCTCGTCTACCTGTTGTTCTGTGAACGTCTGTACTCCACTGACGTGTTCTCGTCTACCTGTTGTTCTGTGAACGTCTGTACTCCACTGACGTGTTCTCGTCTACCTGTTGTTCTGTGAACGTCTATACTCCACTGACTTGTTCTCGTCTACCTGTTGTTCTGTGAACGTCTATACTCCACTGACGTGTTCTCGTCTACCTGTTGTTCTATGAACGTCTGTACTCCACTGACGTGTTCTCGTCTACCTGTTGTTCTGTGAACGTCTATACTCCACTGACGTGTTCTCGTCTACCTGTTGTTCTGTGAACGTCTGTACTCCACTGACGTGTTCTCGTCTACCTGTTGTTCTGTGAGCGTCTGTACTCCACTGACTTGTTCTCGTCTACCTGTTGTTCTGTGAACGTCTATACTCCACTGACTTGTTCTCGCTTACCTGTTGCTCTGTGAACGTCTTTACTCCATTGACTTGTTCTCGTCTACCTGTTGTTCTGTGAACGTCTATACTCCACTGACTTGTTCTCGTCTACCTGTTGTTCTGTGAACGTCTATACTCCACTGACTTGTTCTCGTCTACCTGTTGTTCTGTGAACGTCTATACTCCACTGACTTGTTCTAGTCTACCTGTTGTTCTGTGAACGTCTGTACTCCACTGACGTGTTCTCGTCTACCTGTTGCTCTGTGAACGTCTATACTCCACTGACTTGTTCTCGTCTACCTGTTGATCTGTGAACGTCTGTACTCCACTGACTTGTTCTCGTCTACCTGTTGTTCTGTGAACGTCTATACTCCACTGACTTGTTCTAGTCTACCTGTTGTTCTGTGAACGTCTATACTCCACTGACTTGTTCTCGTCTACCTGTTGTTCTGTGAACGTCTGTACTCCACTGACGTGTTCTCGTCTACCTGTTGCTCTGTGAACGTCTGTACTCCACTGACTTGTTCTCGTCTACCTGTTGTTCTGTGAACGTCTATACTCCACTGACTTGTTCTCGTCTACCTGTTGTTCTGTGAACGTCTATACTCCACTGACTTGTTCTCGTCTACCTGTTGTTCTGTGAACGTCTATACTCCACTGACTTGTTCTCGTCTACCAGTTGTTCTGTGAACGTCTGTACTCCACTGACTTGTTCTCGTCTACCTGTTGTTCTGTGAACGTCTGTACTCCACTGACTTGTTCTCGTCTACCTGTTGTTCTGTGAACGTCTGTACTCCACTGACGTGTTCTCGCTTACCTGTTGTTCTGTGAACGTCTATACTCCACTGACGTGTTCTCGTCTACCTGTTGTTCTGTGAACGTCTATACTCCACTGACTTGTTCTCGTCTACCTGTTGTTCTATGAACGTCTGTACTCCACTGACTTGTTCTCGTCTACCTGTTGTTCTGTGAACGTCTGTACTCCACTGACGTGTTCTCGTCTACCTGTTGTTCTGTGAACGTCTTTACTCCACTGACTTGTTCTCGTCTACCTGTTGTTCTGTGAGCGTCTGTACTCCACTGACGTGTTCTCGTCTACCTGTTGTTCTGTGAACGTCTATACTCCACTGACTTGTTCTCGTCTACCTGTTGTTCTGTGAACGTCTGTACTCCACTGACTTGTTCTCGTCTACCTGTTGTTCTGTGAACGTCTATACTCCACTGACTTGTTCTCGTCTACCTGTTGTTCTGTGAACGTCTATACTCCACTGACTTGTTCTCGTCTACCTGTTGTTCTGTGAACGTCTGTACTCCACTGACTTGTTCTCGTCTACCTGTTGTTCTGTGAACGTCTATACTCCACTGGCTTGTTCTCGTCTACCTGTTGTTCTGTGAACGTCTATACTCCACTGACTTGTTCTCGTCTACCTGATGTTCTGTGAACGTCTTTACTCCATTGACTTGTTCTCGTCTACCTGTTGTTCTGTGAACGTCTATACTCCACTGACTTGTTCTCGTCTACCTGTTGTTCTGTGAACGTCTATACTCCACTGACTTGTTCTCGTCTACCTGTTGTTCTGTGAACGTCTATACTCCACTGACGTGTTCTCGTCTACCTGTTGTTCTGTGAACGTCTATACTCCACTGACTTGTTCTCGTCTACCTGTTGTTCTGTGAACGTCTATACTCCACTGACTTGTTCTCGTCTACCTGTTGTTCTGTGAACGTCTGTACTCCACTGACTTGTTCTCGTCTACCTGTTGTTCTGTGACCTTCTATACACCACTGACTTGTTCTCGTCTACCTGTTGTTCTGTGACCTTCTATACACCACTGGCTTGTTCTCGTCTACCTGTTGTTCTGTGAACTTCTGTACTCCACTGGCTTGTTCTCGTCTACCTGTTGTTCTGTGAACGTTTATACTCCATTGACTTGTTCTCGTCTACCTGTTGTTCTGTGAACGTCTATACTCCACTGACTTGTTCTCGTCTACCTGTTGTTCTGTGAACGTCTGTACTCCACTGACTTGTTCTCGCTTACCTGTTGTTCTGTGAACGTTTATACTCCATTGACTTGTTCTCGTCTACCTGTTGTTCTGTGAACGTCTGTACTCCACTGACTTGTTCTCGTCTACCTGTTGTTCTGTGAACGTCTATACTCAATTGACTTGTTCTCGTCTACCTGTTGTTCTGTGAACTTCTATACTCTGCTGGCTTGTTCTCGCTTACCTGTTGTTCTGTGAACTTCTATACTCCACTGGCTTGTTCTCGTCTACCTGTTCTTCTATGAGCTTCTATACTCCACTGGCTTGTTCTCGTCTACCTGTTCTTCTATGAGCTTCTATACTCAGTTGCATATGTTCTCCCATATGTTCTGACAGCATCTATTCTCTATTGACGTGTCCCCTATCTGATGTTCTGTCGACCTCTGTCCTCCATTGACTTGTTCTTTCGACGTCTGTCCTCCAACGGCTTGTCCTATATATGCCGTTCCGTCGACCTCTGTCCTCCATTGACTCGTTCTGTCGACCTCTGTCCTCCATTGACTTGTTCTGTCGACGTCTGTCCTCCATCGGCTTCTCCCCTATCTGCTGTTCTGTCGACCTCTGTCCTCCATTGACTCGTTCTGTCGACCTCTGTCCTCCATTGACTTGTTCTGTCGACCTCTGTCCTCCATTTACTTGTTCTGTCTGTTCTGGGCATTTGATGCTTCAAAGGCAATGAAAATGACCGGCAAATCAGCGCGATATTCAACAAAATCAGAACTAGAAAATACCAGAGAAAAAAACCTGTGTTTCATAAACTATATGAGAGTCCAGCTGTCCTTCAGTGTTACGGGAGTGTGATCAGAACATTCTACACAATGTAATTTGACAAAAGCGAAACTCTTATCAAACCACATGTAAATCTCAGATACAGCGCAAAGAATGTAGTACTACAAAATATAGATTCGTCACCATTACAAGCAAGTTGTACTGTACCACGTGTGACATACAATTAGGTCTAGATCATTGTTGTACTGCCTTAATCGAGTGATCCATGACAACAATATGTCGGAAGAGTACTTTGTTTCGGGAACAAAATGTAACTTGAGTAACTGGCTATCACTGTTTTTTATCGCCTACAGTTAACACGTGTGTTGTACAGTATGTTAACAAACCCACTGGCGTACTGTGCAATGTGCCCTACTGCGTAATGTAATACGTCATATCATGTAAACAGGGCAGTGTTTTCCCCCGGCACACCTGTGCAAGTATGTGATATACCTATAATGTTTAACGCCACGGTCAAGAATCTTCCAGCTATATGACAGCGACCTGTAAGTAATCGAGTCAGGACCAGACAAACCAGTGATTGATTCTACGAGGACGATTGAGGTACGTTGATACGCAATCAACCAAGTCAACGAGTTAACAGGGATTTAATTTATTCTAACACGGAATCCATCCAAAATAACTGGATACCTAGTTGGACAGAACTCCGGGTGACTGCGTCTGAGACCTGCATCACTTTGGGCTTTCGACCCGTGAAGATCCGGGTTAGAATTAGCCTTCAGCAACCCATGCTTGTAGTAAGCGGCGACTAACGGGATCGGGTGGTCAGGCTCGCTGACTTAGTTGATGCACGTCATCGTATCCCAAATTAGTAGCATCAGCGATGCTCATGATATCAAGCGCTGGATTGACTGGTCAAGACTCGATTATTTACAGACCCTCGTCATATAGCTAGAATATTGTTCGGAGAGTTCGGCGTTAAACAACAAACAAACAAACTTTTGGGCTTTCCTCCCACATTAAGTTGACACGCCGTGATATAACTGGAATTCTGTAAAAAAAAAATTGATATTGTTGATATACAATTTGTTAATTTGTTAAAAATGTGTTAGGATATTCTTTTGGTCACTGCTTCAAAAGACGTAAAACGTTTCTGTGAAACAATTTAACAAATATTTACATGGCATTTTTTCAGGATATCCAGTAAATCGAGCCAACAAATATTTTTTTAGGTTAAGTCTAAGGACAAACTCTTTTTTATAGTTTATTTCTGGAACAAATTATTATTTTCAAGAAGATCCCATCTTCCGTGAGAAATGAATATAGGGTATTTATCATAATAGAATGGAGAAATGGATGTGGATACCCTGACATAATAACATCCAGACATCCCACACAAGTATATACGTTCGCCAAATCTAAATATATATTATATTTTACTTTAGTATTTGCTCTGTATGTACCATGTTTTTGGCAACAGATGTTCAGGTACGCCATGGGGCTTTGCAAGCTTATATAGCTTATAAAACTGACATTTGTAGTGGGTGTTGTGTTATAGAACCGTTTCTATAAAGATAGACTTTAAATAGATCGTGCCTGTGATTTGAACAGAATATCGAAACTGAATGAAAACGTTACTTTTGATTAGAGTGATTAGTTATTTCATGATTGAGATTTATTATGCAGAGCTAGATTAGAGGAAACGTGTTGGCAAAGCAGGGAATCAAGATCCTGCGGCATAACAGTGGAATATATATATTTTTAATTATTTTATACTAAAGCCTAGGCAGGTTAGATCAAACTAAACTAAACCAAGTCTAGATTCCTTGATTCCTGTAAGGAGAAAAGGTGCTATTGAAAAAAATTACAATTATTTTACATAAATGCGATAAAACCCTTTCCAGAGATCTCTTACCCGTGAAGATCCGGGGTAGAATAGGTCTTCAGCAACCCATTCCTTGTCGTAAAAGGCGACTTTGCTTGTCGTAAAAGGCGACTAAAGGGATTGGGTGGTCAAGCTCACTGACTTGGTTGACGCATGTCATCGTATCCCAACTGCGTGGATCGATGTTCATGATGTTAATCACTGGAGTATCTGGTCCAGACTCGATTATTTACAGACCGCCGTCATACAGCTGGAATAATGCTGAGTGGCGTAAAACAACAACCAAACAAAACTGGGGGGGACTTGATAGTCTAACCTTCGCTCGTCACGCCGACTTATTGGGTTTAAATATCCTCACGAGAGTGTGGAGATTGTTCTGGCTGTCTCTCATCGTTATATACCTGTAAATTTGCAAAACCGGCGTAAAACCTATTCCCTCACTCACCGCCAACCACAATGATGTTGCGCCAGCGCGGGCATGGCTAACTTTGGTGTAGCAGCAACTGGGATACGTTCTGAACTCGTCAATATTGTGTCTACCAGTTACCAGAGAAGTGGTAAGAAATAAGCTCCAAATGTCAAGGTCGATTCTTTACGTTACAAGACAGGGAGAATCGATGTGTGCTTCACATTTTGGCAACCATCAACAATTACAGATAACGAGCCACCCAACTCGAACACCGACGCTGGTACTTTAGGAAACGGGTTTCGGTTAAGTGCACATGCACGTAAAGCCGAAGGGGAGGTAACTGGCATCGCATAAGATGACGTCATTGATGCTATGTAGTTCAAAGAAACCTGTTGAATGTTTTAACAGTTCGGGTTACCATCAGTCTCGATCTTCTACAACCGCCATCATGCATGGTGGTATTCTCTTGTGTCTGATGTAGGCGAACAGGTGAACGGCAGGCGCGGGAATCATTACGCCCTTAGTTACCGTAATTTATGATTCCATATCATTTCTGGTCTTAATGATCTCGTCTGCATCTCTACCTGCCAATTATCTCTTTCTGTTTACGATCCTGTCGGTGATTACGCTTTCGTGTGTGCTGCAAGAGTGCCCACCACCACCTGTACTTCATCGCCATGCTGTCAAGTGGACCAATTATCGTTGTATCTCGCGAGAAGTGAACGAGGATTTGCGTTAACTTGGCTTGGTGCCAGTGCGCATGTCTGGCGGGTTGGTTGGCCAGATGAAACGAGTAGAACTGTCGCTATCAACCCTTGAAAATATCAGTATGGATAAACAGACGCGTCCCGAGTACTGGTATAACAGCGCTTCTCTGATCCCGATTAACTAGCATAGCATGTAAGGCCAGTGCTCAGGTTACTCGTTGATATACAAGCTTAGTCCTACCGCCATGAAATGTCAGAGGCATATTTATATACCATTTTATCAGGGCTCCGACCTTTCTGTTAGGTTCTGATTTTCGGAGTAGTGCCCGTTATTGTTCATCAGTAGTGTACACTATATGCCAGGTTCTCAGGTTGTGGTGCCATAGACCGGCGTTCCTTGGATTGTTACACCTGTATTTGCTAAAGCATTCATGAATTTGTGTTTTTTATTTATTTATTTTCTGATCGAGAAAAGGCAGAGTCAATGAATCTTTATCGCACAAGTAGTGGATACTGTAGTATTTGAATTTAGGGCTATATTTGGCCACGATATATCGCCTACTCACGCTGGGCTTATTTCAGGAACTGAAGAAATCTAGACTTGACAAAGGTTGCTTGAAATTTTCGGATATTTTGGTTTCAGGGTTTGTATGTGAGCCTAACGCAGGGTAATTTATTTTTATTTTTAACTGTTCGTGTGAAAGCACTGGAGTAAAGGGATTGAGATAACTTGTGTAACATATACCTTGGTACATACAAACATGCACGACTTTACATCGACGTTTAATTACACCACCATTAGTGGTGTGACAGACTGTGATTCGAATTCATGACATCAGATTCTGGTACATCTAAGGGACACAACTCTGTACAGCTTTAATCGCCGTGAGTTACTACTACCTCATGTTAATGTCACTGTTGAGTGTTCTGCATGTATGTTGGTTAAGCATCTCATGGAGAAAAATAATGCTTCAGGTCTGTGTATTAATGATAATATTATTACGATGAGACTGTTTGTTACCCCAAGTGATTATCTTATAGTCATCACATGACGCATAACCAAGGAATATTTATCGCTGTTTTCTTGGTAAATGGTATCATCGGCAGACAAAATAACTTGTTGTTTGTCAGCCCGAGTGACGTGTTAAGCTAACATGGGCGTATAGATAATTATCACAAACTGAAAGACAAATGCTCATTTCTACGCAGTGCATGGTGTCCAAGACGCAGAATATATTCTGATAGGGGAGTGCACGTTCGCAGTTTTACTTTAACTATTAACATGGGGAAAATGGACATGGTTTTACAAATATGTTATCACGTTACATGTTAAGGATTGGGTGCAGTGAGAAAATACCTCTTATCATTCTTCATACCCTCCAAAAAAGCGGGGGGAGGGGTCGGGTTTTGGTTCATGTAGTGAGGTTGTGAAACAATAACGTCAATGATTTAAAATTTAAAAACCTGTATTTGTTGAAAATGTTTACAAACTGCATGAAGTAAAACATCGGCATAGTTTATAAGAACTATATTTTGATATGCTTTTGAACATTTTTATCTGATCTACTTTTTATACTATATACTTTCACAATGACAAGCAATCCTTTAAAATTGTTTTACGAATATTGTGTTTTTTAATTACATATATCAAATAATCAAAACCAACCCGAAATAAAATATACAATGACGCCATGAGTGGCTTTATTGCATACATGTATTGTTTCAGACAGCTGCGACAAAAATATCCCGCTTGATCAGACGCTCGTTACCATGTGACCGTGAAAGGCATATTTTATGCTATTAAAATCACCCATTGTCCTATGCTTGGAACCAGCTGTTTTAATTTGCTCGTAAATCAAGACACTCGAGCGATTTTTCGGCACATCGTAAACCTGGATCTAAATTAAAACGAAACAATTGGTCGTTCTAACACATGCGTGTGTTTTGTTTCCAATTCTGGGTCATCTCAAAACTAAAATGAAAACAGAATGAAAAACCTTTTTAAAAACTCTCATTAAAGAGCAATAAAGTATACATGTCATGTGACGAGTCTCCCCGGTCACAGTCTGTAGCCCCATTAACGTTATGGTTAGCTCAATCTTTAAACCACTGAGAAAATACACTCTATAAGTTAGACGAAATGGGGACATTGCTATTGAAGGAAACATTATTATGCATCAATTTAATTATTTTCGAAAACTTAAATTACAGAATTTAACTACCTTAGAAAAAGTTATACATCATGCATTGAATACGCCAGTGAGGAATGAAGATAAAAGCATTTTATACACTAAACTAAGTTCACGGATTTCTCTAGACAAACATCTAGTCTCTGAAATGAACATATCGTACAAAAAAATAGTTGATAAATTATCTTAATAAATATTTAATAAAAAAGAGTCCAGAGACTCTCTTCATTTTCCGATAATGCAGAAATCTAGATTTGCCTAACATTATAGACTTGCATGGGCTGTATTTGATATATTTGTATCAGGGTCTGTTAGACAGACTGGAATTTCTCTAAAATAATAAAAAATATATAAATTATCATATCCACAATTTGATGTTCAATTTAACCTCATTCTTAGTTAATAAATTTATTTTTCATTCATTCTTTCATTCGTGTTTTTGTCGCTGTGACTCTCAACACTCTTACATCACACTGTTCTTGTCCATACATAATATATATTGTCAAAAACATATTCACTATTTACTTTATGCATTTATGCATCACGAACAAGGACTTTATGATTTAATATGATATTTAGGAAATGATGGGTGTGTTTCACAGTATCCACGGTTGAAAAGGACTCATTTGAGCTTAACCATAGTACAAACGTGCCTTACAGGCAGAAGCAGCGCATTGCTTATCATTAATACCAGATTGTTTCTAATCGGGTGATAGAAGTTCGTGTGGTTGCATAACCAAAGCTATGGTATAGTGTGGAAATATCTTTGTTATAACCGCGTGAACAACAGTAACAACCCGAGTCTTCGTGAAGAGATTTCTGAAAGCATTCGTGGCCAATCGTCTCATACCGGTACAATTCGGTAACTAGGTTACGGAAAGCGGCGAATGCTGACGATTGAGAATGGAAGCACAAATCTGTGATCAAGACATAGTTTGGTTGTTTTTCAATACCGCTGTTTTCCCGATGCTGGGTGCAGATGCACAGTCGATTGATCTTTAAGGAATGGTGCTTACTTGCGTTTCCAGGAGTGCTTCTGTGCATTACGTCCAACCTGACACTTGTCACTGGTTCGCCCACTCTCTGTAACAAGAATAAATTCCATTATTATGACATGGAAATGTCCGACGGGTAATACGAGAGATCTGAACAGAGCACTGGGAGTAGTTATGACAACATTTAACAGCCTAGGTGGACTAAGCCACTCTGCTTTCACTAAGGTATTTGATAGCAAGATGCTACCAGTACCTAATTACAGCGCATCCATATGGGGCATTAAACATGTTTTATTCAAAATAAAGCCAGGAGATTGTTCTTTGTGTGTGCTGTATTGTGTGTGTGTGTGTGTGTGTGTGTGTGTGTGTGTAGGTTGGCCCCGTCGTCTAAGGCGCCGCAATCGGCTGTGCAAAGTTGCGTCCCTTGGGCACGCCAGAAACCTATGATTGTGGGTTCGGAACCCGGTTCGCCCCGATTATGTTTCTAGGTTTGTCAGCACCATACCCGTGCTCGTGGGTTTCAGCGAAGTGGTAAACGTCTGAGACCTGCATCACTTCGGGCTTTATATAACTGGATATAACTGGAATACTGTTAAAAGCGGCGTTAAACCCAACTCACTCACTCACTCACTAGAGGCGAGGTGTCAAGAAACCTAAATCCAGACAGAAGCGTTAAGACAGTTTCATAAAGTGGTTATGGCCAAGCATGCGTCTATAACTGCAATAATCAACAGATTGGCGCTGCGCCGGAAATCGTCATGGGACTACCGAGCTACAGAATGGACAAAAAAACTAGAACTACATAGATCTACGTGTATGTTTGGTTATTGTGCTTCAACCAGCAGAAATGTGTTTCTGCAGCAAGGACAAGAAGTGCTGGATGCATGGGATACAGAGACGTGGTATTCTGATCTGTTTGATGATAGAAACTATCCAAATGAAAATAAATTGAGAACATACAGGCCTTTTAAACAAGGTGAGGTGAGGTTAAAATGTGGTTTAATGTCGCGTCCGAGTATTGCACTTATAAACGAAGTGCATGCATGTGTGTGTGTGGCTGTCTGTACTAGTCCGTGCTGATGCCGATTTATAGTGCACTGAGATACCATGCCGCAGTTTAACATGAATACCCCACTCAGACACAGTATACTGACTCCGAGCCGACCTGACCCGAGCAGGGGTAACAACAAATACCATCTTAAACGTCCTTTGGTATGACGCGGTCGGGGATCGAACTCCGGGCGGACGCTCAACCACTAGACCACGGAGGCGGTCTATTTAAACAAGACATAAGTACATTTGTATATGTCAGTATCAGAGGAGACTGTTAGCATCTCTAGGATGTGGAAACCTGGCTCTTAATATTGAGCGAGGAAGATCTGGTTACACCATAAGAAGATAGATTGCACACTGTGTTACAAGAACGTAAAAGAAGATGAAATGCATTTCTTGACAGAATGCGCCAATTACGAGTTGAGAAGTATTTTGTTCAGATCATGTGACAATGCTGATAAGGCTTTTACTAATATTACAAAGGTACACAAAAATATTTGGAGCTTTTAGAGCAATGACCAGGTTCGGTGCGTACGAACTATGTATTATAAAAGACAGGCCGCTACATAATTATCTTTTAGCATAACACTTTTTATTTGTCATACTTACTTTATTGTTTAAATTAGATTGTAGGTCTTGACAAGTGTATGGTTTATGGACGACTGTTTATTCGTTTGGAGAGGGGGTGAAAGATTAACCATGTAAATAGTGGGTGTATTTAGGTTTGAAAGTGGGAGAGTGCATGGGGGATGTAGGAAGATTTTGTTTGTTTGTTTGTTTCTTGTTTAACGCCGCACTCAGCAATATTCCAGCTGTGTGACGGTGGACTGTAAATAATCCCGCCTGGAGCAGACAATCCAGTGATTGATATCATGAGCATCAATCCACGCAATTGGGATACGATGACATGTATCAACTAAGTCAGCGAGCCTGATTACCCGATCCGGTTAGTCGCCTCTTACGACAAGCATAGTCACCCTTTACGGCGGCAAGCATGGGTTGCTGAAGACCTTTTCTACCCCGAATCTTCACGGGTCCGAATGTGTGGATGTATGTCGGTAAGAAAGTGAGGTTATAAGTGTGGGTGTATTTAGATATGAAATTGAGGATGCGCATGTGGTGGTGTATGTGGGTATAAAAGTGAGGGCGTGCATGTGGTGGTGTATGTTGGTATAAAAGTGAGGGCTTGCATGTGGTGGTGTATGTGGGTATAAAAGTGAGGGCGTGCATGTGGTGGTGTATGTTGGTATAAAAGTGAGGGCGTCCTTGGGTGGTGTATGTGGGTATAAAAGTGAGGGCGTACATGTGGTGGTGTATGTTGGTATAAAAGTGTGGGCGTGCATGTGGTGGTGTATGTTGGTATAAAAGTGAGGGCGTGCATGTGGTGGTGTATGTTGGTATAAAAGTGTGGGCGTGCATGTGGTGGTGTATGTTGGTATAAAAGGGAGGGCGTGCAAGTGGTGGTGTATGTTGGTATAAAAGTGAGGGCGTGCATGTGGTGGTGTATGTGGTAATAAAAAATGAGGGCGTACATGTGGTGGTGTATGTTGGTATATAAGTGAGGGCGTGCATGTGGTGGTGTATGTTGGTAATAAAAGTGAGGGCGTGCATGTGGTGGTGTATGTGGTAATAAAAGTGAGGGCGTGCATGTGGTGGTGTATGTGGGTATAAAAGGGAGGGCGTGCATGTGGTGGTGTATGTGGGTATATAAGTGAGGGCGTGCATGTGGTGGTGTATGTGGGTATAAAAGGGAGGGCGTGCATGTGGTGGTGTATGTGGGTATAAAAGTGAGGGCGTGCATGTGGTGGTGTATGTGGTTATCAACGTGTGGGCGTGCAAGTGGTGGTGTATGTTGGTATAAAAGTGAGGGCGTACATGTGGTGGTGTATGTTGGTATACAAGTGAGGGCGTGCATGTGGTGGTGTATGTGGTAATAAAAAATGAGGGCGTACATGTGGTGGTGTATGTTGGTATAAAAGGGAGGGCGTACATGTGGTGGTGTATGTTGGTATATAAGGGAGGGCGTGCAAGTGGTGGTGTATGTTGGTATACAAGTGAGGGCGTGCAAGTGGTGGTGTATGTTGGTATAAAAGGGAGGGCGTACACGTGGTGGTGTATGTTGGTATATAAGTGAGGGCGTGCATGTGGTGGTGTATGTGGTAATAAAAGTGAGGGCGTGCATGTGGTGGTGTATGTGGTAATAAAAGTGAGGGCGTGCATGTGGTGGTGTATGTGGTTATCAACGTGTGGGCGTGCAAGTGGTGGTGTATGTTGGTATAAAAGTGAGGGCGTACATGTGGTGGTGTATGTTGGTATACAAGTGAGGGCGTGCATGTGGTGGTGTATGTGGTAATAAAAAATGAGGGCGTACATGTGGTGGTGTATGTTGGTATAAAAGGGAGGGCGTACATGTGGTGGTGTATGTTGGTATATAAGTGAGGGCGTGCAAGTGGTGGTGTATGTTGGTATACAAGTGAGGGCGTGCAAGTGGTGGTGTATGTTGGTATAAAAGGGAGGGCGTACACGTGGTGGTGTATGTTGGTATATAAGTGAGGGCGTGCATGTGGTGGTGTATGTGGTAATAAAAGTGAGGGCGTGCATGTGGTGGTGTATGTGGTAATAAAAGTGAGGGCGTGCATGTGGTGGTGTATGTGGTAATAAAAGTGAGGGCGTGCATGTGGTGGTGTATGTGGGTATATAAGTGAGGGCGTGCATGTGGTGGTGTATGTGGGTATAGAAGTGAGGGCGTGCATGTGGTGGTGTATGTTGGTATAAAGGTGAGGGCGTGCATGTGGTGGTGTATGTTGGTATAAAAGGGAGGGCGTACATGTGGTGGTGTATGTTGCTATACAAGTGTGGGCGTGCATGTGGTGGTGTATGTTGGTATAAAAGTGAGGGCGTACATGTGGTGGTGTATGTTGGTATACAAGTGAGGGCGTGCATGTGGTGGTGTATGTGGTAATAAAAAATGAGGGCGTACATGTGGTGGTGTATGTTGGTATAAAAGGGAGGGCGTACATGTGGTGGTGTATGTTGGTATATAAGTGAGGGCGTGCATGTGGTGGTGTATGTTGGTATACAAGTGAGGGCGTGCAAGTGGTGGTGTATGTTGGTAAAGGGGAGGGCGTACACGTGGTGGTGTATGTTGGTATATAAGTGAGGGCGTGCATGTGGTGGTGTATGTGGTAATAAAAGTGAGGGCGTGTATGTGGTTGTGTATGTGGTAATAAAAGTGAGGGCGTGCATGTGGTGGTGTATGTGGTAATAAAAGTGAGGGCGTGCATGTGGTGGTGTATGTGGGTATAAAAGGGAGGGCGTGCATGTGGTGGTGTATGTAGGTATATAAGTGAGGGCGTGCATGTGGTGGTGTATGTGGGTATAAAAGGGAGGGCGTGCATGTGGTGGTGTATGTGGATATAAAAGTGAGAGTGTGCATGTGGTGGTGTATGTGGGTATATAAGTGAGGGCGTACACGTGGTGGTGTATGTTGGTATATAAGTGAGGGCGTGCATGTGGTGGTGTATGTGGTAATAAAAGTGAGGGCGTGCATGTGGTGGTGTATGTGGTAATAAAAGTGAGGGCGTGCATGTGGTGGTGTATGTTGGTAATAAAAGTGAGGGCGTGCATGTGGTGGTGTATGTGGGTATAAAAGGGAGGGCGTGCATGTGGTGGTGTATGTGGGTATAAAAGTGAGGGCGTGCATGTGGTTGTGTATGTGGTAATAAAAGTGAGGGCGTGCATGTGGTGGTGTATGTGGTAATAAAAGTGAGGGCGTGCATGTGGTGGTGTATGTGGGTATAAAAGGGAGGGCGTGCATGTGGTGGTGTATGTGGGTATATAAGTGAGGGCGTGCATGTGGTGGTGTATGTGGATATAAAAGGGAGGGCGTGCATGTGGTGGTGTATGTGGGTATAAAAGTGAGGGCGTGCATGTGGTGGTGTATGTGGGTATCAACGTGAGGGCGTACACATGGTGGTGTATGTTGGTATATAAGTGAGGGCGTGCATGTGGTGGTGTATGTGGTAATAAAAGTGA